AGATGTTGCTCTGTACACACTGGCAAGATCAGCCCAGCTCTCCACTCAGTGCAAAGGGAATTTGCTCAGGCGTTGCTTTGGCAGGGGGTGTCTGTGGAGGAACAGAGGGCAGAACAAAGCAGTGACTGCTTCCATTTTCTCTGCAGAGGAGCAATCCATGGAGACAGAGCCCTGCTCTGCCCCTCTCCTGGCAGCATCCTGATGTCTCTGGGGGAGGGAGGGAGGAGGGAATGCTCAGTGCCATTATGGGGTGGCCTTGCTGCTGAGAATCCCAGAACCCTTTGGGTTGGAAAAGACCTCAGTGTCCATTGAGTCCCAGCTGTGCCCCATCCCCACCTTGTCCCCAGCCCAGAGCACTGAGTGCCACCTCCAGGGATGGGCACTCCTGCAGCCAGGTGTGCTGGTGGCCACACTTTGGCCTGGGATCCTGTTGGATTTCAGAAGAGAAGTAAGAAATAGTGAGCCTTCTGTGCCTGGTCTTGCGTTATCTACAATCGTGCTGAATCTGGGGATGATTTAGTGATTTTTGCATTTTACATCCTGCATGAGCCAGGATTCTTTCAGCATCTGGAGGGTTATGGCAGGTAGGGCTGAACTTTCTCAGCTATGTGTTCTCTCAGGATCTAACTGCACATTTCTCTGAATAGGAGACTTTTAATCTTTAATATCATAGTCTCTGCAGCCTAAAACTTGGAAAAGTTTCCCTGTCTCTGATTTGGGAACAAATACCGAGAACTTGCACATTTAGTTCATTTTTCATTTGGAAAATGAAATCAGAGCAAGTGAAGTCCTCACCTGCCTTCTGCTTCATGCACTTGGCCACCAGCCTTTCCTGCAAATCAGGCTGTGCATTCTGGTGTAATCTCAGGGCTCATTTGGTCTCCTTGTTTTCCCCATAGTTTTATTTCCAATTGGCAATCTGTTGAAATGCTGTAACACAAAGTTCTGCTAAGCCAGGGGTTTTGATCTCCTTGACGTGGGTTTTGTTGTAAAGCCCATGGATCTTCTCAGTGATTTGGAAATCTCTCCAGGGGAGGCTCAGGCTTTTATGCAACACAGTTTATACTCTGCTAAATATTTTTATGCACAGCATGAAGAGATGGGAGAACTGGCTTCTCCTTTTGAGTGGTGTGGAGGAAGGGATCCCCATGTGTGGTTTGTAAAACAGTGGGATCTGGGCAGGTTCACTGCTGTGAAATGCAGGTGCTGTTCCATTTTCTCTCTCTGCTGCCCCATTACTGCTCACACAATTAACTGAGAGCCAGGCTAAATGATGAAAGAAGTAAGAAGAAGCTGAAAGCAAATTCATTGCTTTGACTTAGCAGAAGTCGTGACTTTTGTTTTTATAATGATTCCTGGTTACATTAATAAATGGTCCCCAGTGCCTTTTGTGCAGTAACCACATACTAATGAAATCCCTCACTCCAGTGACTTATTAAATATTCTGTGAAAATGAAGGTGATAGAATAATTGTTTGTGCTACTGCTGAGGGTATAATTAACAAGGTTTGAGTGTAGCTGTTGTCAGAATGAGCACACTTTTCCCTGTTCAGTGTCAGAGTCCTACCTCAGATATATTCACCCTTTGCAGTTCATCAAGGTAATGTTACACTTAATGAGCATTGGCTTTGCCTGAGTTATGCTGAATTTTAGGATAAGTTTAGGTGAGATGTATGGAAGGAATTGTTCCCTGTGGGTGGGGAGGCCCTGGCACAGGTGCCCAGAGCAGCTGTGGCTGCCCCTGGATCCCTGGCAGTGCCCAAGGCCAGGCTGGACAGGGCTGGAGCACCCTGGGACAGAGGAAAGTGTCCTTGCCCATGGCAGAGCCAGACTGTGATGATCTTTAAAGGTCCCACCCAAGCCATTCTGTGATTCCATGAATTCTGTGGAATCATGTGAGTACTTTCCACTGCAAAGGATGCTCAGAGAAACCCAAATCTCCCCCAGCAGCAGAAGGGTGGGTTTTTTCAGAGAATCTCTGACCATGCATGCAGCAATGTGCCAATGGCTCCTTCCTTCCTCCTCCTTGGCATCAGCTGTAGGCACCAAAAGCTGCCTCATTTTAAAAGGACTGTCAGAGCTCATGGATGGTGACACATCCTTGGCCACAGCAAAACTGAAACAATGGAATTCAGGAACCAAGTTGTGAGATGGAAGAGCTGCCATGGGAGCACACAGCACACACACAATGAGGTGCAGGCTGAAAGCTGGAATCTGGGCTATTTTTAACCAGACAGTTGCAGCTGTGGTGAAAAGTTGAGATGTTTGCTCAGGGTGATTAATACAGAGATAGTGGCCAGCTGGTAGTCAGTTCACACATGTGGAAAGGTGGGTGAAGAGCAGCGTGCAGCTAAAATAGCTGAACTTGACAGATCTGCAGAGAGATTTTAGGTGGCACTGATTTTTCTGTGTAGCAGCAGATCCTAAAAAGGATCCGAGCTGAATTTGCATTTGAGATCAAAGTGCTGGCAACGTGCTGTTGGGAAAAGTGGACAAAATGTGCCCCACGAGGTCTGTGTGTTTGCATTAGCAGGGTGGAAGCATTTCTGTGAGTACAGGTGCTGAGAAACCACTGCCTTGGCAGCCGTGGTGCCCCGAGGAGGCCGGAGGAAGGAAGCAGCTGCCAGCTGGCACCGGCAGCTCCTGCCCTGGCAGATACAGCAGCGAGTGTTCCTGCACAATGCCGAGACAGTCATGGAATGAACACGGGGCTCTTTGGCCTTGTGTGCCAGCATTCACTGGGGGGCTGTGGTGTGGGCAGCACTGCAGCTAAAGAAGGGATTTCTTTACCAGGCCTTTGGGATGGATGCACCTGGGGAAGTCTGTATGCCAGGACCAGTATTTAATGAAGCTTTTGGGTTTAATATCCCAAACTGAACTCACTGGCTGCTGCCTTACTGGTACAGTTGGTTAGTGCAGGTTTTGACAGAGGAGGGAGTTTGGGTTTGTGGAGGAGTGGAATTGAGAATTGTAGAATCACAGAGTATCCTGAGTGTGGAAGGGACCCACAGGGATCATTGATCCAGCTCCTGTCCCTGCCCAGCTCCCCAGAATCCCACCCTGTCCATCCCTGGAGTGCTGTCCAAGCCCTCCTGGAGCTCTGGCAGCCTCGGGGCCGTGCCCATTCCCTGGGGAGCCTGGGCAGTGCCAGCACCTCTGGGGGAAGAACCTTTCCCAAATATAGGAGATCACAGTTGATATTTGAGGTCACAGTTGATATTTGAGGTCACAGTTGATCTCAAGCCTCCTGACCCGGTGGTTGTGTCACACCTACAACCTCCTTTTCAGTCCATACCCTTTGGACCCTGCAGGAGATGCCCTTTTATAACTAGGAAACAACGAATTACTCTGTCAGGCCGAGCCTCTGCGAGTTGTTTTCCCTCGTTTGCGGCTGCATACGCGGCATGCCTTTAGCGGGCAGTGTGTACAAGGGCCGGCGATCCAGGGATGCTGGGCAGGCCGCGCTCGCTGCCGGCCGGAGCGGCGGCCCCGGGCAGCGCCGGTTCCGCGGGAGCGGCCGCCACCTGGCGGGGCCCGCCCGCACTGCGCCCGCCGGGCCCGGCCGGGAACCGCTGAGGGGACAAGGAGCTCCGGGACCACCGAGTCCAGCCGTGCCACATCCCCACCGTGTCCCCAGCCCAGAGCACCGAGTGCTACCTCCAGGGATGGGCTCCAGTGCCTGAGCACCCTTCCCATGGGGAAGTTCCTGCTGATGTCCATCCTGAGCCTGCCCTGGCCCAGCCTGAGGCCGTTCCCTCTCATCCTGGATGCCCACCTGGCTCCTGTCAGGGAGTTGTGCAGAGCCAGAAGTTCCCCCCGAGCCTCCTTTTCTTCAGGCTGAGTCCATTTCCCAGCTCCCCCAGCTCTGTTCCCTTCTGTGGACACACAGAGGACCCTCAGCCTCTTCAAAGCCTGGGGAATGACCACGGTTTGCTTTGCATCCATTCCAGAGGGTAACATTCGTGCTGCCATTCATGCTGCCAGTGCTGCTGAAATAATTAGGAAAAATAGGTATTTTCATAGAATTTATTATTTCTAATTTGCAACCCTGTGCAAACTGAAGTCTGGGAAGTAATCTGGAGCAATATTTTACTGACAAAGAAAACATCAGTGGGATTTGACGTAAATTCTTCTCTCTGAGGCCCTGGCACAGGGTACCCAGAGAAGCTGTGGCTGTCCCATCCCTGGAAGTGTTCAAGGCCAGGCTGGATGGGGCTTGAAGCAACCTGGGACAGTGGAAGGTGTCCCTGCTCATGGCAGGGAATGGAACTTGATGGTGTTTAAGGTTTCTTTCAACACAAACCATTCCATGATTCTATGACTTGAGTTCTTCAGTGGTTTGAGAATGCCAGTTGTCACCATCCATACCTAACAAACCCACGGCTGCAATGGGACCATGAGGATCTGCATGGGCTGGACTGACCCGCCAGGCATCCTGTCAGCGTCACACATCTGTTGCTGCCTAAAGGACAAAAAGGTATTTGATGTTTCATTACTGTTCTGCACGTGGCACGTGGCTGGAGCAGATATACTGCTTGGAGAGGAAATCCCTGTATCAGTGCAGGTACTGCAGCAGCACCCACACCAAAGGGATGCCCAGGGTTCCCCTGCTGTGGAGACAAAACATCAAACAACCTTCAGCCCGGAGCCCCCTTACCACTGGTATAAACAGATCAATAACTTGCATGAAATATATCAACACATGGCTTCGGGCAGCAGCAATGTGTGCTAAACTCTAGCACTGACCCAGGGACAGGGGGACATGCAGCCCCTCAGTCCCCAGCTCCTCTCATCAATCCCTCACTGCCCTCCCAATCCCGGCTGTCTCACAGCCCTGGGCTCCTTTCACTGAGCTATTCCCCGTTCCCCTCACAGGCCTCCAGCCCGGCTCGTCTCAGACCCCGGTTCCCCTCAGCTCCCGCTCCCCTCACCGACCCTCGCCTCTCCTCACTAAGCCTCAATCCCCGGTTACCCTCACAGCCCCCAGCCCCTGTTCTCCTCATGCCCGCGGCCCCGCCGCAGATGGAGCGCGGCCGCCGCGCCCGCCCGCCCGTGCCGCTGGTGTACGTGAACAGCTTCGGCTCGCACCGCTGCGGCACCGTGATCCGCCTGGGCCGGGGCTGGCGGCAGAGCCGCGGGCAGAGCCCCCCGGGCCGGGCTGGGGCCGCGATGGCCGCCCCGGAGCCGCGGGCCGGGCGCAGTCCCAGGCCGAGCGGCAGCGGGAGGAGAGAGGGGAGCGGCGGCGAGGCGAGAGCCGGCAGCCGCACCAGCCGCGGTACGTGAGACCCCGGGACAGCCCCCTTGGTTCTCCGAGGGCTGGAGGTGGCTCAAGCGTTGTCTAAATTGTACCAGGAATAGCGGGAACAGCAAAACCCGGGGTGGGGGGTGATTCTTCCCCAGTTCTGGGCACTGGCACACCTCGATTGCCGTGCCCAGTTCTGGGAAAGAGAGGGAATTAAAAGCTCCCAGAAGCCTGTTGTCTGTGTGGGTGCTGTGTAGTTTTGCAATCTGTTTTGTGGTGTTTGAAAGATGCTCACCTGCCCCATGGTTATAATGGAGTCAAGAAGAAGGGAACAAGCTGCAGGATGTAAGGATTGATACCCTGTAAGGTGACCAGAAATAAGGATCTCTGTGGAATCATAGAGTGGTTTGGGCTGGGAGGGACCTTAAAGATCATCCAGTTCCACCTCCTTTCTAGGCATACCTTCTGCTAGACCAGGCTGTCCAGAGCTCCATCCTGCCTGTCTTGCACACTTCCACAGCTTTTCCGGACAACCTGTGCCAGTGATCAACACCTTCCTTATGAACATATTCTAAATACTCAAAAAATGCTTTCTAAACTCTTTCTAGGTGACCCTCGAGAGGCTAAGGCTGACGCCTTTGACTTTCCCATCCCTTCAAGAAACGTTGATAAAGTCATTAAACGAAAGAAGAAAAAGGTATAAAGTGTGGCAGCTCAATTAGCTGCCTTGGCATTTGAGAAAGCTGCTTGTTCTCTGTGTGTGAGAGCATGAGGGAGATTAAAAGATGGAATTGGTAGCCTGTTACTGAAAACCTTACTTACAGAAAAGAAAAAATGGTATTATCTTCCCTCTCTGGAGGCTTTAAAATTCTGGCTTTTATTCAATAAAGCACTTAAGTATGTGCTTACCTTGAAAAATGAGAGTGTGCTGTTGACTTAAAAAGCCTGTACTGAAATGCTTTGCTGGATTTGGGCCAGGGTGCAGCACACCTTGGGGTGAAACCCAGCAGGGAAAAGCTCTGCAGCTCCTCTTCCTCTCATGTTTTAAACAAAGAAATCCCATGAGTTACAAATAAGCGAAGGCAGGAACCTGAGCTATTAATGCCATCCTTGGAGCAATGCAGAATTACTTTCTGCTTCACAAATGTGTTTCTGTTCCTGTTCAGTAGTTCGACAAATGCCTGAAATTTTAACAGGAACATTTGTTAAGCAGTAACTCATTATGAGATCCTGTAATGTGTGAAGTACAAGTAATCAGCTGGACTAGAACAGAGCCATGTCGTAGATACTTGATTTAAAAACAGCAAAATGCTACCAACTGCAGAGGAACAGCTAATAACATCCTGGAATATGGCTCTCCTGGTGCATTGAATAGTCTTCAAAAACATGAGGAATATATAGAATGTTTTAGCAATAAATGTCCTCGAGAAAGGAATTTTCTTTAGATTTAAACAAGTTTCTCAGATGAGGTCCAGCAAAAGTCCAAATATCAGCGTGTCAACAGCCATTTCTATTTGTTAGGCCACCTCTGCCTGAATGCTTTTGCCCACAATTCCAATTTAATCTTTCCAATGCACGAGTTTGAAATGTGTCCACTATAGACAGAGCTTTATGCCTCTAAAATAAAGGTTTTCAACATCTATAAACAAATTAATGTGGATTTCATATGAGATAGGCAAGAGCATTGCTATTCTGGAATCTGAGTTTGGACCCCAGTTTTGCTGCTGCTTGGGTTGGAAGAAACCTTAAACACCATCTAGTTCCATTCCCTGCTATGTGCAGGGACACCTGTTTCTCACATGGGAAACTTGTTGCTCCTGGAAAACTACACAATCTTTTCTTGCCCCCCATTTTGGATGACTTTGAAAAAGCTTAATGGCTCTACACATGTTTTCATGAGCTTTGCTCATCTAGAAGGGCACTTCTCAAGTCCTGGATAAACACAAGAGTTCTAGGCAAGAAAGGAGGTGGAGATTTCATGTGAAAAATCATGGAGGAATTTATGGTTTTGACTTTTAAATAGAGATGATTGTTCCATATATCCCACATCCCTTCTTCCCTTCTTTCCCATACCTCAACAGAAAAACCCAGCTGCACTTCATAGTCGTTGTGGGGAATTCAAAGTTCTGCCCTATAGATGTTTTAGTGAAAACTTTTTATATGTTTCACATTTTATCTTTCAGTCCAAAGTCTGGCACAAGGTCTGGAAAGTGATTTCAAAAATGCTTGAGGAAAATGAAAGGTTCCGAAGTCGACTGTTGACCTGCAGCCAGTTGGATGGAGAAGGTAGGAAATGAACTGCTGATGTTTTATTTTACTAGAGAAAACAAATTATTAATACAAGTGCAGATCCCAAGGTTTAAGGTCCATTCAGCTGTTTTTTTGGTCGTAGGTTCTACAACTCACAAATGGAATTCATTCCATGCTTTAGGCACTTCCAGCTTTTTCATAAAAAACCCTTTTGTTTCATGGAGGGTCTTGTACGTGTTAATTTGGAGGAAGGATGGTGGAAGTGTTTGCTACAGCCTGACATTAAAGATATGCACATCAAACATCTGCAAGTTTTTCTGAACATGTGAAATACGTAATTAAACTTATTCACAGATGGGTCCAAGGCAGTAGTTGTATGAATAATAATTTATTTTTTCACGTAGGAAAATAGTGGTTGATTTCATACATACAATAAATAAATTAGATGCTCCCCAAAGGTTGCTGTAACACAATTTAACAAAACCATGGAACATGTTCTCACTCTGTGCCCTGAATGCAGCTCTTTCATTACTGGAAAATGACTTGGGAATTAAAACTGGTGTTCTGCATTCAGCCAATTTCAATTAGAGGCATTGTAGCTGCTGCGCAATTTAAGATAATACAGTGTATGCTTACAAATGGAATTGGAATTTCTGGCTTCACAGTTGGATGAATTATTAGGAAAAAGAATATACTAATCCATGGAGAGCTACCAGGCAAGTTTAAAATGCCACTTTCAGGCACAGCACTTTTTCTTCCCTTGCACTGGTTCTGATGGTAATTTTCCACATCGGGGCATGTTGGGGTGAATCCCAAAATGTAGGACCATTCCAGGCAGTGTCTTACTTGGTAAATGTTGGATTAGATTTCCACACACATGACAAGAAAATACACCCTCAAAAATCTTCTTCATGAGAAAAGAGGTCCAATTCTGGTTCAGAACAGAAATCTCTACTCCAGTGGATGTTATTGAATAGGAGGAGAAATTCCACTGAAATATGCTTCAACAACTTCTTCTGCAATTATTGTGCAAATATTCTGCATTGTGTGCAAAAACACTTCTTGTGTTGGCTTTAAGCCCAATTCCTGATTAATTCTGGAATTATGACATGATATTAATTATTCATCATGTGCTATTCATATTCAAGGTTCCATTGGCCTCTGTCATATTTCTGTGCTAAGTTCCAATGTAATAAATCTCTTCTCCCATGGAAGCTGTTCCATGTGCTTTCTCCCAGAGCTGAGATCATTGCAGAAGTGTGTGTGCAAAGCTCTTAATTTATATGTTGGACACATATCCATGTGTAAGACACACACATTCATGGATATGTAGGATAGTGAATTCTTTAAAAAAAATCTTCCTGGATTTGTCTGTTTGATTTCAAGAAAAAGAAGAACAAGTATCAAGAAAAAAAGAGGAGAAATATTTAACAGATTATTAGATTTCAAGTTATTGTAAGGAAAAAAAACCCAAATTCTGCTTATATATGATTTCCTGGGTGGATTTGCCATCTTACCCTAATGGCTGCTTTTCTGTTTGTGATGGATCACCATGTGCTGTTTAACCTTGCATTTCTGGACAGGGCCTGTCCCCTTTTCAGCCACTCATTTCTTTTAGAGAAAGAGCATTTTCTTTATATATAATTGCAGTGACTTGAAAAACCTCACCAACCAACCAATCCCTCCTCCCCTCTTACTCTATCCTTAATTGTAATTTTACCCCCTTTCTCAGGAGCTTTAACTGAGAATCTCCTATTAAGTCCTATTTCAGTGAAAGCCATCAATTCTAATATCTTCTTTCTAATTAGCAGATTTTGCACAACATCAAATCTAGGAGATAAGTCTCCTATTGATCTGAATTTTTCATTAATCAAGAAGCAAATGGAATAATTCTAGAAGTTATTTAGATAGGGATCAACAAGTCTGAATAAACTGGGTTCATTTTTATCTTCTTTTTTATTTTCCCTAGATTAATAAATCTAGAAAACTAATGCTGCATTTTATTGCCTCTATAAATAGGTTTTTTTGAGAGAACAAAAGCCTACTTGAATTTTAATGCTACCTATTTACTCCTTGGACTGTTGCAATTAAGATTAGATTTCATGTGACTGCAAATGATGATTTTCCTCCACCTGATGTTCTCCTGCAGGCTCTGACAGGACCCAGAGGTCACAGAATGGGGCCAGACTGGACAGGGTATGTAGACAGTCTATTAAAGGCCAAAAAACCCCTAAAATATTAAATTAATAATATTAAAAGCATGCACTGATCTTGTTTAGTGTTACTATAATAAGTGGCAATTATTTTTTAAAGTATTACTGACATGGAGCTCAAATATTTTCAAGGTTTCAGATTTGGGGCCAGAGAAGCTCCATCCTCACAGGGAGGGCTCTGTGCTTTGCCAAGGCAAAGGGAGGTTTGTGCCTTCTTCTTGAGCTAAATCCTTCCCTGGTGGTCTAAAGTACAATCTGAAGAATCTGAACAGTCTTTATTTGCCCCACTTGATATCGAGACCTTTTTTTTTAATATTAATGGTAATGTACCAACTCACTTTTATCACTTTTTTCCTCTAGGATGAATCCATCTTTGGCTGGGTGTAGCAAGGAAATAAAGGAAGATTCAGCCCCAAAGGAAATATAAGCAAAGTGAAAGCTTTTATTTTGCTCTAGTTCTTCCTGGAGTCAGTGCAAGACTGCAAAGTGACTTCAGGGAACACAGGTTCTCTGTTGTTTCCTTGGTGTTTGTGCTTCTGCTGTTTAGGAGGTTTGTTTTTACAGTGGCTTAAACAGTTCTGTTGCAAGATATTTATCTCAAGCCATTAAGTCTAGTGTTTCACTGAGCTATTAGTTTTAGAAAGCTTTTTAATGAGCATAATATTGTGACAATTTTCTTGCAAAAGAATAGATACACATTTACTGTTGTCTCCATATTTATATCTTTTATTTTTGTAGCCTGTCAGAATAATAAACACAAATTCAGTAAGGCAAAACTCCACACAAGACATAAACCCCACTTTCCTTTTTTCCTGGTTTGCATAAATTTGCCTTTATGATATTAAAATATTACACAATAACCCTCTCTGTTCTTTCATCCATTTATACATGAATCTCAGCAAGTATTTGGAATATGAAACCAGGTGAATGTTTTCTCTCTCTGTTCATCCTGAGGCACATAATGGTACCATCACAATCGGGAGGTGTTGTTTATCTACCTGACTTCAATAACACAATATAATTTCCTTCTGTTCTGCAGCTTAATACTTGAACCCTTGATTGACTGTTAAAGCCTTTTAAGCCAGCAAATTGTGTAAATGGAACATGAAAACTGCATAAAAATAGTTATGTATATGGGGTTCATCTGAGGAGTAAAACATTCACCTGTCACAATGAGACCTCCTTGCTTTCAATAAAAGGATTGTTTCCTCCTGCCATAATGTCTTGGTGTTTGCAGATAAAATGACTGCAGTGTCAGAGTGCTGAGCTTTAATAACATGCTGGTGATGGTGTCATTAGGCAGCAAAGCACTTGGAAAGGTTTCATCTCTGTTTTCTTCATGGTAAAACTGCAAGTGTGGAACTGGAATGCACCTTTGCAGGGACAGCTGCAGGTTCAAGGTTTTCTTCTGGTTTGTGGTTGGGTAATATTTGGATTTTACTTAAAATAGTTGACATTTCAGCTTGGAAAAGGAAATGAGAAGGCAAAGTATCCAATCAAGATGTGATCATTTTTCTGGCAGAACAAAAATGTCATAGTTCTTTGGTATTTTCAAAACACATGTTTAGAGTCACACGTGGGATTTTGGGGGGGGGGGGTTTGAGGTTTTTTTTTTTACTAAATGAGATGATCTCCCTGTCCCCACAGTTCTATCAATGAATTGTTTACATTGGGAATATTTAGTTTATAATCCTGGTTTGTAAATTGTAGAGTTGTTTCTCTAACTTTTCTTTTCCTGTAAATTGCAGCTGCAGTTGGTGCTTTACTGGCACAGACTTCAGGGGCCCTGGAAACACTTTTATTCCAGATGCATAATTGCTACTTTAACAGGATAGATGAGGTGCATTAACCTAAATCTCTGCCTGAAGTTTAGCCAACACATTAAGATTCTTTGGATAAATACAGACCTCTGTCTGTGGGGCTGTTTTAAAAGAAATTATAAAAGATAAGTATGGCCTTAAATCATCCCTGTGTACCTCCTTCAGTCTAAAGGCTCTGTGTGGTGATGAGAAAATTAATTGGTTGGGATCTACTAATCCAGAACTTTCATTTGGCAGTACTTTGAAAGGTTCTTACTTTTTTTCAAATCACTTTGGGCCAGAACAGCTGTTGCATTGGGGAGAAACTGCTGATTCAGGTTCAATTTTTGACTTTTTGGGTAAGGAAGTCTGGCTTTCTGCTGTAGTGGCCAGATTTCAAAGGTACAGTTGGGAACAAAGGTCATCAGAGCAGTTAAAGTGCTGAAAAAAGGGCCCGCAAACCAGATCACCATCCCAATCCACTCAGACCTCTGTGCATTCCTTTTTAATTCATGTGATCCTTTAAGTGTAAAATGCAAAATAAATGTAATTGCAGTGTTGCATTAAAATATCTCCAAGTAAGTAATGTGCTCAACAAGGAGAAAAAGGGTTGGATAAACATTAAAAAATTCATTGAAACCCTCTCTGTTAAAAGGGGTGAGAAGTAAATAAGGAACCTTCAGGGGCACTGGATCACAGAGTAGAGATTCAGGAAAAAACTGATTCTTCTTTGAGGACTTTGATCTTCACTGCAGAGCCAAGAACAAGTGTCACACTGTCCTGCTGTGACTCCTGGGCACCACTGCTTCTCCTTCACATTCTTCAAAATGCAGATCAGTTACCTGAAGTTTTTAATAACAAATCTCCCTTGGAGTGTGAACTGAAGCAGATGTGCAAATACAGAGGTCACACTTTGTCTTTGCTTTGCCTTGCTCTCGGTGCATAATTTACCTTTCTATAGAGAACAGAAACTGCAGCTTGTTCCCAAAGTTTGACATTTCTTCATCTCAACTCTGTGAACAGTTGCCAGGAGATCTGAGGAGGCTCCTTGGGATGCAGAACTGGAAGGGAACAGCCAAGGCACACAGAGTAGCCAAAGGCATTGCTGCTGAATTTGTTATTTGTAAATGGTTTCAGACACTTATCTCATGATCCAAAAGCTGGTCTGGATAATCTCTTTTCCCTGTGTGCCATAAATACAAAAGACTTTGGATGAAGGTAAGCAGTGGAGAGTAAAGCCTTTGGGGTTTGTGTCACTGTTCCATGCTAGCTGGAGATTAATTGGTCCAAGTTCAGCTGGAAATACCACAAAACATCCTGACATGTTTTGGTTGAAGTTATCCCATTTGAGGAGTTCTTGCCTGGTTCCTGGAGCAGCTCAACCCAGGCAACTCTGCCTGGCAGTGCTCTGTCCAGGGCCTGGAGGCTCCAAACTCCAGCTGCTGGCTCTGGGCTGCCCCTTCCAAGGCTGTGAAGCTGAAAGCTGGGACGTGCTGGGAGCCTGAGCTCCACAGTGATCTCCATGGCTGCAAGCACTGAGAGCTTGGCTGAGGCCAGACTGCTGCAGCTCCTGCCCTCCTGCACAGTGGGGCTGTGGCTCTGGGCAGCCTTGCCAGGGTGTCCTCAGCACCCTCTGCACAGGAGCCAGGGAGCTTTGGGAGCTCCCTCAGCTGCTCTGTGCTGCTGCTGGGGATGATGTCACCGATCAGCTGCAGCCTTGGGAACTTGGGAATGGTGTGGTGATGTTTCTGAAGTGACCCTTCTGGGAATCTCCAGTTTGTGGGCATTTTCAAAAGGGTTTGTTTCCTGCTTGATTTGGCCCGAAGCCACCAGTTGAGATAAAACCTCATTTCCTACAGGCTGGAGGCTTGCCTTGCCCAGCAGCTCCTCTGCTCATGCATCTGCTCTGGATGAATCTGATTCTCTGAGATGAATCAGATTCCTGTGTCCCACCAGCTGAGGCTCTGCTGAGACTCCCATGGCCTCTGAGGTTATCAGAACTTGGCCATTACAACATAATCAATCACCAAGGTTAATAGTATTTCACTGCTGATTCCTTCCATGAAAAGATTTCAGCTCTGAAGCAAAACTTGAGAGCAGGATGTGGAGTTTCCAACATGGTTTGATTTTGGGAAAGTAGAAGGTGACCTTTATCTTCACTGAACATTTGCATCCAGTAAATGTCTTTGTCTTTAGGGCCCTCCCTTGTAGTCAATGTTCATGTTTTAACTTCAAAGCTTCTAATACAATTTTGCATGGACTCTGACTAAGGAATAGCCTTCAGCAGGCAGCTGAATTGTAGTTTTCTTTTTCTTTGGGAGGAGGAAGTGAGTGAAAGCAAATTTTGGGCATATATGACATTTTGCCTGTGCTGTAGGCCCTTAAATATAAAGCAGAACAGAACTTTGATTTATAGCTCTTGTAAATAACTCTCAGTGACATGGGCAGGTTTGTGTATTATGTTTCTTTTCATTGCATAAGCACTTACATAACTCTGATTGTTGGAATTTGCATAAAAACCAAAGCAGCCATGGATGGGTTTAGCATCATGGGCTTTCCAGCAAACTGAAGCAGCAGGAGAACCTATGGTTTAAGAGGAATTTTACTTTTGGAGGAAAAGAAGTAGTTTTATTGAAGTATATTAAGCCACAGTGGATTCTTAATAAATACTCACTGGAAGTTTCTCACTCATTAGTGACAGCATCAGGACCCTCTGATCTGAGGCAGAAAAATTCACATTTGAAAGGTTCAGCCTAGGGAAAATTAATGTGGGTAGCTGCAGTTTCATTTTATTGGGGGAAAGTTTCCCTTGGGAGGCCCGTAGGGGAAAAAGGAATATGCCTTGACCCAGGGAGGTGATCACCTCCTGGAAGATGCTGAGTGCTTTGACCTCCCAGTGACTGTGGCACCTCTTTTATCTGTTTCTTGAGCTGAATATGTGGAGCAGATTAAGAGAGGATCTCTTCTTCTTCTTTCTCTAAATTTGGACTCCACATTTGTGTCTCACCCAAGGCGCTCAGCTGAGCTGTGGATGTTGCTGGGCTGGGCTGTGAACAAATCTGATCTGTGTCATCTCCCAGGGGTCAGGACAGAATCCCTCCATGCTGGGAATGTGTGAGATTTATTGCATTCCTGCTTGAGGAGGAACAGAGGCAGATTGAAAGAAATGTGCAGGAAGGCTCAGGGTGGCACTGACAAATGTTCCCTCTCTTCCAGAATCTTTGTAATCTCCTGGATTTTGAAATGAGTAATAAACTAACATGGCTTTTAGCTTTTCCCCTGTTCTGTATGATTGTTTTCTGGTTCCTACTGTGTGTGACAGGAACTCAATGGTGCTGGTGGAGCTCTGTGGAATGGATGAACTCCTCACAGCAGTGACTAGGAGTAGTTAAACCCAGCTCAGAAAGACGTGGTCACTTTTTACACCTCTTTGTATTTAAATTCCTTCAGCTACAGAAAGGGTGAAAAATTTGAGTATGATGCTAAGTTGTCTGTGATCTCCCAAGGAGAAGAACACTGCACTGGTTTTCAGTGCTGTATTGGACTCATTTTGACATGAACTCAGGTGGAAGTTTGAGAAACAAAGAATCTTTTGGTAGAACAGTCTGAGGTGGATGATGTTACTC